ACACACACACACACACACACACATATAATACTATAATGTGAAATACTATATATTAAAGTATCTTTTCCGTTGCATATTGAATCTACATAATAAGATTTCATGTATTTGTAAATGCAAAGAATAGCAGAGCATTTTTAGGATGGGACCACAATGTTCATCACATTTTTTTTTTTTTACTTGGTGGAAGAAATGCTCTTTTATAAAAGTACAAACACAACACCAGTAATTCTCTATAGCAAGTGAAACATGAGTAGAATTGGTGAATATCAAGATAACGAGCAAACAACATAAAAATCGCATAAAGGATATCTTCTTTCCATTCTGGAAATAAAGGGAGGTTTAGTATCCACAGCCATCTTAACTGAGCAAACAGACCTCCTCTAAATGTCAGATGCGCACTTGAGCGTGACTGTTGTGAATGTTTCACTTTCATTTATAAGGTAAAAACAGTTTAAAGTAGCGAAGCAGGGGTAAGTCTAATATGCAGAAACGTCGTATTTTCTAGCTATCTTTCTGTTCACATGCACAAAATGTGTAATATAACATTGTGGTTGTTGAAGGTTTGGATATAATTCAAGACGTAAGAAAACAGTAAAGTGGAGTGTAACCGAGAGTGTAGCTCTGTAGACTGGGTGGAGAACGACGTTAGCTAATTTATGGAAACGGTTTTATATAAGATCGCCAAATACAGAATTGCTGGTTGTTTGAGTGCAACACGCTGTTGTTATGTCGTCTGTGTTTGGTGTGTTTTGAAGGAAGAAGATCAAAATCTTGAACATGGCCAGTGCAGAGCCCATGGAGGTCGACAAACCTGACGACATGAGACAAGTATGTAAACTAACACCGAATCAGAATAAAGTAATTTGTTACAGGAACTTTGGTGTTAATGCAGTCATTAAATATCCACAGTGCTTATCTCCAGTTGGAGACTTACATTTTTTTTAAAGTGCACTTTTGAGGCCACGGTTTGCTTTTATACTTGAAAAGCGTTTCATTTTGGTGATTTTGTGTGCTTATGCTTAATGTGTTCCGTTTTTTTTTTTTTCGTATTCTTGTAAAGATTATATGAAAGTGAAAGTACTGAGACTACAAGGTCAGCATAATCTTAGCTTATCAACTCTGGAGGTTCAGGAAATACTGAAAGATTGTGTAAAGCTGTTCAGTGTGGCTGTTGTCATGAGTGAAATTTTATGTAAGGTTTCAAAGTGCCACTAGATGGAATACAAAGCTTCAGCTTTGTAAGAGTTGTGAGACTGAAGAAGTCAACAGTGTGTGAAGATGATCAGCGTTACTGTGATCATCAGTGAGAACATTGTAAATATCTAAGGCTTCAAGGTGACATCAATGTGACAAATGTGAAAATATGAAAAGTGGCTAGCGTCACACTATTCATTCATAAGTACAATAGTTAAGGAACACTAAGTTTGAAAACCTTAGTTTGGACCAAAAAGAAAACAAGCTTTAGTCTTGTCTATAATACTAAAGAATGGAATTCTTAAAAGATATTTTTCAACAATTAAAAAAATATATACACATATTTAAATAAATGTAATTTAGGATGAATATCATAGGCTTGCATATTTTTATTGTGTGTGTGTTTTTTTATTACAGGATCAAGATGAAGCACACATTGTTCTCTCAATAAAGTGGATAAAGTCTGATGATGAGCTACAAAAAGGGAAGAGGCTAGAGACTCGTCTAGAAAAAATGCTTCAGACTTGGTTTAACAAATGCAAACATAAGGTGGACTGCTCAGTGGAAAGGATGTTAAAAGATGGGCGTGTTGTGATAAAGACTAAACCAGTTCCAGGTGCAGTAAAGTCCTACATAATCATCTGATTACTTTACTATCTGTATAACTTCTCCAATAAAAACATTTATTTTTAATAAATTCTGTATAATTATATTGATTTTTTTAATCCAATTTGTCTCTGTCTTTTAAGTCCTGACTGAGCTTCAGAAACTGAGTAAACAAACACTAACTGGGAAGGATGGAAATTCAGTCACCATAACATCCATCAGTCTGACACTGCCATCTCCAGAGCTCGATGCACAAGTACCAGAGGATGCTTCAATGAACATTCCCCCATCTGTGCCAGCTCCACAAACTGTATGCACTGTGTAGTAAATCATTTAAAAATATACACACACACATA